TTGGCCGAGCCTCTTCCAGCAAGGCCCAGGCGGCCTCTGCCGGGAGGCCACCCCTGCTGATGGCCACCTCCGTCTGCCCGTCTCTCCTGCAGGTGTGGGTGCCAGCCAGGTGATGGCCGGGGGCTCCGGCCCCGTTCAGGTGAAGGACTCCCCTCTCCTGCTCCAGCAGATCGAGGCCATGCAGCTCTCCATCAAGCACCTGAAAAACGAGAATAACCGGATGAAGGTGAGCAGCCCCTGGTGCCACCCCCCCCGCGCCGCCCCCCGCAAGGGCCCCCCCCCCCCCCGATGGCCTTGGCTCTCCCCCCACCCGACTCTGACTCCCCTTCCCTTCCTTCGCTGTCTTCTCGGAAATGGTGGTGGGAGGAGGAGGACGGCCAAGTCTCGTCCCTTGAGCTGCTCCCAGCCGTCCCTGCCCCAACCTTGTTTCTCAGGGAGCCCAGATGAGGAGGGAGTTGGCATCGCTGCCCCCCCTGCACGTCCCCAAGCTCTCGCTGCCCAAGGACAGGCAAGGGGAGGAGGTGGTGTCCAGCTCGCTGTACCGCAAGACCAGCCGGCTGCTGGAGACCCTCTACCAGATGAGTGCCAATGCCCAGGTGGTGGACGTAACGCGGCGTAAGGCAGGTGCGCCCCGGGGGCTGGGAGCAGCAGCCGGGTGGGGTGTGTGGGTGGGTGGGACTCTCCTCCTTCCTTTCCTTCACCGGTTTCCCCTCCCTCCTGCAGTGGGCAGTCCAGCAGCTCAGCTCCTGGAGCAGACCACCCGCCTGGCATCCCTGAGCGAAGCCATTGAGAAGCTGAAGGTAGTGCCGTGGGGGGTGTGGTGTGTGTGTGGGTGTCTGTGGGTGCGGTTCTTCCTAAGGGGGTCTGGGAGAGAGGGTCACTTCTCGCTCTGCGGTAAGCCCCCCACCCACCCAATGTTTTAGATCAGAAGCCTCCAAACGTGGCCACTTTTTAAGCCTTGTGGACTTCAATGCCCAGAGGAATTCTGGGAGCTGAAGTCCACAAGGCTTCCTTGGAAGCCCCGCCCCCTCCCCCAGTTTTAGGTCTTAGGCTGCTTCAGGGCGACCGCTGTGCTTCCCCTCTGCTCCAGGATGAAGTCAGGAAGGAGACGATCCTGCAGCACCCTGGGGCCAGCATCCCTACCGACTTCGGCACGTTCCCCTCGGCGCCTTTCCTGAAGGTGGGTTTCTTCTGCCCGGGGCCAGGAAGAGAGGCGGTGGGCGAGCTGCTGCCAGCCCTTCCAGCATTCCTCCGCCCGCTCTTCTTCCCCTCCCCCCCCCCCCCCCAGGCCAAAGAGGAGGAGAAGGACAGCGCCATCTACGTGGGCCGCGTGACCTTCCCCTGCCAGCCGGGCCATGGGCAGCGGTACAAGCTGGTGCTGACACCAGAACAGCTGCACAAACTCCACAGCCGCCTGAACTCCTAGGAGAGCCGCCTGCCTCTGCGGTGCCCTGCCTATGCCGCCCGCTGCGCCACGGCTCCCCTTCCCAGAGGCCAGAGGGGGAGTCGGTCTTTGCGGTGAGACGGGAGGGCGGCTTTGATGGAGAAGAGATGCTTCCTCGTGCCTTCTCTTCACGGCCTTCCTTTATCCTCTGCCGTTTCGGTTAAGGATCCCAAACGGGGTTCCCTGGTGGGAAGAGCCCAGGGATCCACAAGCACTACAGGACGGATCCTTTCTTGCATGTCGACGTCCTTGGAGGGGATTGGAGATGGATCAATAAAGCTCTCTGCAACCCAACCTGAGCCGTGGCTTCATTCAGGCGCTGGGCTGCAGAGGCCTCCCTCGCGCTCTCCCCTTGGCTGCTTTTCCTCCTCCAGGCCACAGCTGGGCCCTCTGGGGAAGGGGCCTTGGTAGGGAGCCGCTGCTCTCGACGTCTGCTGGGGGTGTGCAGCCCCCACATTTCGTTCAGTAAAGCGTCTTGGTGCACCTGAAAACACAGCTGCAGTTAACCCTGGCCGAGGGTCGCCAGGCCCAGTTTCTGGCTTTGCTGAGGGGGGGGGGGGGGGGTCTTGCAATGGAGCTTTTTTTTACACAACTCGGGTTGGGGGGGGGGAGTTGTGTTGAACTGACCTTAAACTGCTTTAGGGCCACTTCTTTATGCCAACCACAGAAGGCAGCCAGGCATTTTGCCATTCCTAAGCCCACCTCAATTCCAGCAAGAGCTGCTCCCGAGATGCCTTCCTATTTTGAATTCTTTGCGGCTGGGGGAGGAAATGGAGGCAGCCGGGCCCCAATTAAGGCTGCTGGAAACGGCTCTGTGGTTGCCCTTGTTCCAGGAGCCCCTCAAAGTCGCTCCAGGGTGAAGCCAACGGCTCTTTTCAGCTGCTTTCTATACCGCTGAGTGTGTAAGCGCTTTTGGTGCCTGGCTGGATGCCATTTGCCTTGGAGGGGAGGGGGCCCTTGTTCCTGGGTCACCAAGGCCCCCCTCCCAGGACCTGAGTGGAGCTGTAGATCCTGTACCCCAGGCCCACCCACCTCATTCCACTTTGCCTGGTTCCATCATCCAGCGCCAGGGTCAGTTTGCTTTCTGCAGGCTTTTCTGCATTGCTTACGCTGCCAAGACACAATGGTGTAGTAGCAGGAGTTATAATTTACCCTAAAAAAAACCCCAACTGGTCACGTGGGTGTCAGGTTTTGCTACCAAGATTGGAAAATAAACCACCAAGAAGCCTTGCTTTTCGAAATGTTTTTATCTCCGCTGTAGTAATTGCGGCACTAACTGACCAGCATAATAATGCAGAAATAGTTAGGGCTTACCCCAGTGGTGGTATTCAGCCAGTTCTGACCGGTTCTGGAGAACCAGTAGCGGATATTTTGAGTAGTTCGGAGAACTGGCCAATACCACCTCTGACTGGCCCCGCCAACCCCATCAAGTCCCAGCTGATTGGCTGGGTCTCCTTTGGTTGCCCTGCACAGGAGAACGGAGCTGGAAAGCAGGTTAGTGGGAATGCCTAAGCCACACCCACCAAGCCACACCCACAGAACTGGTAGTAAAAACATTTGAATCCCACCACAGCTTCAGGAGGAGCGGTTGGCTTTTGAAGCCTGGTCCCATTTCTCATCTCTCGGCCGCTTTCGCTCAAAGCTTTGGAAGAGCAGAGAATCCCTTCAATCAGCACCCTGACTGGTCCACATATGGAGCAAGCCCTCACTGGACAGCAGGGCCAAGAACCGGATGCAGGGCCCTAATCTGCACCCCAGACCCAACTGGCTTTTCTGGGCAGTTCTACCCCGCTGCCGGCTGTGGGGTTTGACCCCTGGATCTCCTTCCTGCGTATTGGCCAAGCTGGTGACCACCCATCCTGGAGATTCTCAGCCATCCAGGTCACGGTTGTCCCAGAGGTGCTTTTTTTGGAGGGGCAACTGGACTTCCTTGGTTTTTTTCCTTCAAGATGTTTCGTTTCTCATCTAAGAAGCTCCTCTTGGAGCTGAAGCTCCGGGACTTGTGGGTGCTCCGTCACTGGTTTTCAAGAATAGACAGATATGAGCCTCAGTGGCGCAGTGGTTAGATCAGGGGTCACCAACCTTTTGGACCACCAAACTCATCCTTTTAAATCCCACGGACCAGAGACCCTGGGAAAACCCCACAAAAAGTCTGCAGGAAAATTCCCCACCCCGTTTTCCTACCGGTCAATCGTTCTTTATTTGGGATCGCAGGATACCGTCTCCAGCTCCGTTTTCAGGGGGGGGAGGGAGACTTTTGGCTTCATGCAAGGAAAGCAGCAGAAGTCTTTCTTTCTCTCCCCCAAACTCTGCCAGAAATGAGTCTTTTGCCGGCGCAGCCTTATGGAGCAGGATGCCTTGCAGGGTCCCAAAAAGACTCATTTCTGGCGGAGTTTGGGGGAAGAGAAAGAAAGACTTTTGCTGCTTTCCTTGCATGCAGCCAAAAGCAGAAGAAGAAAGAAGTGGAAAGAAGCAGCCCGG